TGCTGGATGAAGGTTCGTCGAGCAGATCCGGGTGAAAGCCCTGCTCACGGCTAGGTGCCAAGACCGGCGATGGCGACGCTTTTCTGTGTCATATCGTTCCTGAAGGCAACGCCGTGGAGAAGCTCAAGACCTCAATCCGCTACCTATGGAGGAAACCCTAGATCAGTTCGATCGGATGATGGCGGCGCTCTTACGCCGTTTCCCTTTTGGGGGTGTCATTCTTGGAGGTTGCATTTCGGCTCGAGGGACCAGTGGAAGGCGTCTTTGGTGGAGCGGTGCTTCATCTTACGCAATGATGGCGGCGGATCTCGGCAGCGTGGCGCAGTGGAGACTCGGCGTCCGATGGACGGAGATGGACTCACGCAGGAGGAGGACGCTTTCTAGCGTCATGGTGGCGTCGATGGCAGAGAGGCCTAGTAAGGTCGATGCATCGGGTCTGCTCTGAGGATGGATCGATGGAAGATGGAGGTGACGGCCCTTGCAGCGTGCGGTGCTCACGGGAGTGTGCCGGACCGGTATGTGACCCAGTCTAGGTAGTGGCTTGGATGAGGCATCCGGCTTTAGATGTTAGGTTTTGGTGTGATGTCTGTTTGGTATTAGGCTCAGACGTTCGGCACCCCTTCATCAAGGGATAGGAGTAGCAACAGGCGTTGCCAAGATGGTGGCTTCAGACTTTTTGATGTATTACCTAGTAAGGTCTTTGGGAACAATTAATAATATGGCCGCATGCATCGTCAGATGCAGAGGCGAGGAGTACACCCTCCTTTTCTAAAAAAAATCCATTTATACAATTAGTTTTTTTTACGCGAAACTTAGGACTTTATTGCATCAGAGAGGTACGGTTATCTGTACAATTAGTTGGTCGGTAGTTGGTAGCAATAAAATTAGTTGTTATATGTAACACCGGTCTCTCCTCACATTCACACGCATAGAAACACATGTTTGGGCTTCCACACCATGAGTTCATCAGAAATTCGCAAGCACCTCAAATATGTCTACAAGCTGGTCGTAGACAACTTCCTAGCCATGATCACCATACCAATAGCCGCAACCACTGTGGTTGTGGCGGGAAGGCTCGAGCCCGATGAGATCGTGGGTCGGCTCCAAGCCCTTACTCCGGCGCACCTCTTCTTGTTTGGTTTCCTCCCTGTCTCTGCATTCACCATGTATCTAATATCGCGACCACGGAAGGTGTACCTGATCGACTACGCCTGCTTCCATGGCACTCATCATTACCGCATCCCAATTGCCACATTCGTGGAGCACACACGCCAAATGCCAACATTCAATGAGAAGAGCATTCGATTCATGTCACGTCTTCTCGAGAGCTCAGGCCTCGGGGACGAGACTTGTGCGCCCGCACCAACCCACTACATTCCAGCGCACGAGTATTGCACACTGGAGGCCGCCCGCGAGGAGGCTGAGCTCGTGGTCTTCTCAGCCATGGACGAGCTGTTTTCCAAGACGAACGTCTCTCTTGACACCATCGACATACTCGTCGTCAACTGCAGCTGCTTCAACCCCACGCCATCCTTCACCGACATGATCGTAAACAAGTACAAGCTGCGAGGCGACATCCGCAGCGTGCACCTATCTGGGATGGGGTGCAGCGCCGGGCTGATATCGGTAGAGCTCGCGAGGAACCTCCTGCGGGTGTCACCCCAAGGGGCACGTGCGTTGGTCGTGTCTACGGAGACCCTGTCGCCCCACCTCTATGCCGGGAACGAGCGGCCCATGCTGCTGCCGTACTGCCTGTTCCGCATGGGCGGGGCGGCCGTGCTGCTGTCCACGTCCGCCGCCAATGCCCGATTCCGGCTCACGTCCACCGTGCGTACGACCACCGCGGCGGATGATAAGTCATACCGGTCCATATACCAGGAGGAGGATGGCAAGGGGAACAAGGGTGCCGGTCTCTCCATGGACCTTATCGATGTCGCCGGCCGCACTTTGAAAACCAACATCACCGCCATTGCACCAATCGTGCTCCCAATCTCCGAGCAACTTTTCTTTGCAATGTCTTTCGTGGCACAAAAACTATCCAGCGGGCGTGTTAGGTTGTACGTCCCCAACTTCCTCACGGCTTTTGAGCATTTCTGCATACACGCTGGTGGGTCTGCGGTTATCGACGAGGTTCAACGCAGTCTTGGCCTGTCAGACAAGCATGTTGAGCCATCAAGAATGACGCTGCACCGCTTCGGAAACATATCCAGCAGTTCAGTTTGGTATGAGCTAGCATATATCGAGGCCAAGGGTCGTATGCATGAGGGTGATCGCATATGGTTGATCGGGTTTGGCTCCGGCTTCAAATGCAACAGTGCGGTGTGGGAGTGCATCGTCCCAGCCCCCAATAGCAATGGACCATGGGCTGGGTGCATCCACCGCTATCCAGTGCAGATTAAGTCTCCAAAAGCAAGGCCGCGGCAATAAGTAGTGGAGACACTGGTAAATCGGATATCATTGATGTGTGTGTGTGATTGAATCCATGCTCCAACCAATATTTAAAAGTTTAAACTGATGAAGAGAGACGGATAATATATTTCAACATGTGTGTTGTAAAAAATTGTGACTTATCAGTGTTGTCATTTTTGCTTCATTTTGGTGATTTACATATAAAACCGGATGAATGTTTTTCTCCAAAAAGTAGTGGATACACTTGAAACAAGCACTCAAAAGGTAAAGCCATCGTTTTCTTATAAATAGCAAAAGGACCCTTTCGACACAATGGGATAATAAAATCATGGTCTTCAAAGCAAGTTTCAAATACTCGCACTCCATGTATATACATGTATTTGAATATTTATGCGCCAATCGACACACAGCAGACGTAAGACATGTGCATTCTAACATGCTCACGATAGGTTGATGTTGGACTTGATCCTTGACGCGGGGTGGGTAATTTACTTTAATTTTAAGGGCAGTTTTAATGACGAACAAAAAATTCAGGAGAAACAATTAATAAAGAGTTTTTTCTTCACTTACGGGTGACGGGGTGGGTAATTACTTCAACTTTAGGGGCAGTTTCAGTGACGGGCGGAAAATCAGAAAAATAATTAACGAATAGCTTTTTTTTTCACTTACAGGTGGCATGATGGATAATTTACTTTAACTTTATGGGCAGCTTGGGGTAGTTGAAGAGGAGGAGGAGGAGGAGGAGGAGAAAGAAGAAGAAGAAGAAGAAGAAGAAAACGTATATACTCTGTCAACTAATCGAGGTGTGGGGTTTCATCCTCCAACTTAAAAAACATACAGGTTGTACCTCAAAAGCTCCAAAACGCTACGTGGAGTGGTTGTTACCGTAAAAGTGCTGTCTTATGAACCACTCTCGCTTCGAGACGAGGCGCCTAAATTTTCTAAAACATTCTGAAAAAATCATGGACGTAGTGCGTGATATAATAGCACATGAACTTAAGCAATTCCATTCAAGTAAAAAACAAATTATCTCAAAAAAAATTCAAATAAAAATATAGTCATTTTTCCTTGTTTCTTCATTTTTAAGCCCGGAATATTCGTATTCTTGGAGAGAATTTTCGCATAGAGGTCATTCATGAGTTCCTTTCAGGCAGATGATTAGGGTGCCTCCATTCGACACAGTATGGAGGGCCATCAATACGACGTACGACTATCAAGCATGGTCGGAGGAAATTTGGCAGGAGCACATGCATAGCATTAGCATGCACTACATTCGTGAGCTCCTTTCAACTTATTCTTTAATGGCTTAACTCGACACAGTGGCGGAACCATGAATATGCTTGGTTTTTACCGTGCACCGTCCTTTTTTTTAGGATCTACTGTCCTGTTTTTTCGAGAGGAGTTGGAGCTCCGTGGCACAAGAGCAGTTGTGTCTTCTCAAACGGCCCTTTCGTATTTTTGTTCTATCATCATACTGGTATCATGGTAATCTGAACGAGAGCGCTCAATCCCATGCCATGCATGTGAAAAGCATGCATGGGATACTGACATGGTACGTACGGTGCTCGTGTGAAAACATTATATATTTATATGGCATAGTGTCTCATGGTTGGGAAGATAGTCGGCATGCAACTATTGAGAACTTATTCCATGACGTTACGTATTTCTTTCATGAAGCTGTATTGAGGCTTCTGAATGCACAAAAAAAAAAAAACAGGCTGAAAGTTCATCAAGGCCTGACGAGTGCGAGGCAGTGTAAACGTATGGGTCCTTTGTTGGCCAGCGGACTGAAACTTCTTTGCTTCTTAGTACTCCCTCTGTTTTTAAATAAAGTCTTAGTAAAAATTCCACCAGGTGGACAGAGCAAAATGAATAAATCTAAACTTAAAATGCATCTATATACGTCCGTATGTGGTTCACAGTGAAATCTCTGCAAAGACTTATATTTAGGAACGGAGGTAGATGCGGGATTATCGTGAAATATAGTCAAGATAAGGCATTTGGGAGTTGGAACCATCACCCGATTTTACTTGAAAGCAAACGTTCCAGAAACAAGATGCAGAGGAAAATATGGAACTGCAAACAAGATTGCTATTTCTCGACTGTAGTTTTGACCTGCAAGCACCCGTCATCCGATAGCGAATAACCCCTCAAGAAACATTCCTTCTACATGGCATAGCAGTTCATTCGAACCAACCAACAACGTGCCAGCAGCAAGCGTAGCTGCAGGATAAAACTTTTAGAGACCGCACCAGAAAAGGAGGAACTACTTTGAATTACAATTTTTTTGCAGGGAACTACTTTGAATTACATGGCGCAACAGAACTCTTATTACACTGCTTCAAAGGCACAGTGCGTACCCCATTCACAGAATACAAGTCATACAGGAAAAACTACATGCACTTACATTACGGTGACAGTTATACCACCAACCTTGGGGGCATTATTTACGTACTCCCTCCGTCCGGAAATACTTGTCATTAAAATGGACAAAAAGGGATGTATATCGTCTCTCGTATTTTGCATAGATCCACGCTACTATATATAGTACCGTCGTTTTTTTCTCGATGCACGAGGGGGCGGTTTTTGGTTTAGACAAGCTGGACTACTGCGGCGATTCTCAGGGCTCCACCCTGGAGAAGATCAGCAAGTTCATCAAACAGTATGGCCGTGCGCCAACCCCACCCTTTTGGAGCCTTGGGCAGGAGAGTGCCGGCCTGCTTCAGGCTACCGAATATCATCACCTCTCTCTTCGATGGACAGATGAGCTAAGGGCAACAAGACAGATGGCAAATTATACCATATACAGTATCAGTGGAAAATTTGAAGAAACATAACTGAGGTAGATACCTGATACCGAGCAGTAACCTTTTCCCGGGGGTCTATGTACATGTGGGCCTGAGAAAGAAGTACATCAGTGACCTTGTTATCTTGCGATAAATGAATCAACCCATTAAGTTACTGACCTTCCTCAAGGGGTCTAACAATTCAGCTTTGCGTCTGTGGAGAAAAAGCCCTGCATTGTCAATTTGTCAAATGCTAACATGCTTTTCGGCAAACAACAAAGGTGACTGGCAAACATTACAGAATCAGAAACAAAATATGTTACCAAGGGTGCGCCGCCCATGAGGATCCTCATCATTGAATGCCTGGACACTTACCTGCAAACGATCATGTTTAGTACCAAACTTGATTTAGGTTGTCAGAAGCACGGATAGGTAGAAGACCAGAAAGTAATAAACCTTCCATAGCGAGCCAGCGTAAAATACTTCAGCTGAGTGTTTCACTTGACCATCTGCAAGCCTATGCACATCTTCAAATTCAACCCTGTGTTTAGGTAGACTGGTCAGAGCTTAATACAAACATGATATTAGTGTGCACGCCGAGTTCTAAGTTAATGATATCTGTAGGGAATAAAGAAATTGACGTCAGAAGTTTTGAGCATGTCTTGGTTGGCTAGACTAATAAGAAATTAGAAGAAGTTGTTTCTTCCGCCTGCCTTTGGTGAAGGCAATAATATCCAACAGGAACACTCAGATTGCTTGAAACAGATGATTTGGCAATCAAGTAAACATCATACAGAACAAGCCGGGTTATTTTTTTCAGGAACTATGTCCAAAGAGGTGGTGTGTGTTGTAAGAGCAAAGGCAGGATAAATAGGGATCTTACCCAAAGCGGAAAGGGGGGAAATGACTAAGCGGTGTTCTCATGTCCAAGGATATAGCTGTGTTATCTGCACTTTCCCAACTGGACCCAAGTTCGTGCTCTTTTGACTCTTGCATCTGGAGAGAAGAACCACCTGGTGTAGAAACAGTAGCAGCACCAGAATATCTAGTTTGCATGCCTGCCTCAAAAATACTTTCTGCCTGATGATGAGAAGCATTGCTTTCTTGGCTAAGATTGACCAATGCAGTCAGACCATCTCCTGGAATATCTCCATTGTGGTCAACTCTAGGTTCTGATTCATCATTCGCAAATGGTTGCTGACCATTCCTTGAACCAAGCCCATAGGGAACACGAGAGAAGACATAACGCGTAGGAGCCCAAGCAGCGCCAGGCACGTTTGAGTTTCCTCTCCCAATGCCAGCAAGTCCATCAACTGCTCCTCTTACGTTAACACGCACAGGACTAAACATACCATTCCCATCGCCTTGGGCATCTGCAAGGTAGATACTACCTGCAGTTCCTGAAGCACTTGTCCTATCATGCTCCTGCCTGTAGTGGCTGTGTGTACCAACATATGCTTGTTTACAAGCACAAGAATTACTTGTAAGGCAACAGTTTCTGCAAGTATCAGCAACTATTGCTTGCACTCTGTGGCACAGGAGCATCTGCATTAACAAATCAGCAAAGTTTCAGAGATGGTCTTAGAGGGAACACAGCATTTAGAGGAGGGGAATAAACTAACCTGGAGCCAAAGACCATCGTTTACAGCTTTGCAAGGAAATTCAAATTCTTCAAGTTGCTTTCGAACACTTAACAGTGCATCAAATGACATATTGCAATAGAGAAGAGAACCCCTTTCAAATATATTCATGAAAGTATTATATTCATCAGCAGACAAAGAACTTCCCCTGCTGCATCTAACCTGCCGTCGACCAACAACCCTACCACCCCAAAGAGGTGCAGTGGGTCTTCCCCACTCACATGGAACTAATACATTACTTGAAGAAGTTCTTGAGAAGTAATTCTTTGTTTGCTCATTAGAAAGCCACATATTTTCGTTAAATTGATAAGAGGTGCTTTCTGCAGATGGTCCTCCTGTAGAAATATCATTCTCCATCCTCTTGGAAGCTTCAGCATTCTGAATGATCAGAACAAACAGTACAATCTTAGTGCAATTATCATGCTTCTGGTGAAGTGGTTTGTTTAATGAAAGAAGGGGAGTTCATAGCATATTGAAAACAAGCCAACACGATCTTCTTACTTGTGGAATGGAGTGCGGTGTGCTATCCTGCGGAATTACAACATTTGGAACATCAATAATGTTATTGGCAGTTTTACTCGGCATGTTATCATGCAACTTCAACTTCTGCAGTTCAGATTCCATTAGCTGCTTCTCACCAGTTTCATTCATCAGACTCTTTCCCTTTCCCATGGAACAATCAACAGTTGATGAGCTTGCCATATGGTCCAAATTTTCGTTTCCGCTAACTTCTACATCAGAAACAGTGACCTTTGCCAGTAGAGCAAATAATGCTAGTTCAAACCTTCAAGTTGCAAGATGACCAGTTATCATAATTGGGCTTCAAATTCTAATGCCATCAGTAGACAACACATACATACCGTTTCTCCTCATTAGGTACCCACAGTTCGTCAGATGTAAGGAGAGCATGCAAAGTTTGTGAAGAAAGTTTTGGAAGCACCTTTCAGCAAAAACAAACATTGAAAATCAGTTATCAATATTATGGACGAAAAACAGGCATGGAAAATCTAAGCCTAAAAGGAAATGTTGCATGTATTACATATTCAGATTGAAATTCACCCAAGTCCAACCCTATGTGTCATAATTCAGCATTCATGTCGCATTAACATCAAAGTAAAAGCTAAATAAAATCAAATGGTTCAACATTCAAAAGCTTTCTATGCATTTCTAGGACACTAGAGTTACATTTGTACTGCAACCTGTATTCTTTCTTTGGCGAAGGAAAATGGTAATGAAACCATAACAATATAGGGGGTCAGATTGAACATTCACTTCCAAACCAATAAGCTAGACTCAATTTCTATTCACTAGAACAAGTCTTATAGTCTTTACATTAAAAAAATTTAACACCATGAATGCACAAGCAAACATTGCTGAATTTGTAAGCATGGATAATAAGTTCTAAATTGTTAAGTAGCTGAGCTTTATGGAGAATATCTAACACGGATCCAATAACACTAATACCAAAATTAATGTCACAATAAACAACTGCCTCTGTTCAGAAATGCAGGTCAACCTATGGTTCATGCAGTCAACTTTTAATACCTTTGGCAACTAATTTGTGCGAAAATACATAAATTGACTTATATGCAAAAAAACATTGAGTTTGACTTGGAAAATATTTGATGCTCATAAATTGATAAGTGTAGCTTTTCAACCAGCAAGATCCCCATGAATGCTCCTTGGTCCTTACCTCTCGTAGTTCCAGTGTGGCACTTTGACAAAGATAACCCCAGCAAGCATTTCTGACACGCTCTCCATGACTACCATAGTCTTGGCTTTCCGCAAACAACTAAAAAACATTAAGAGAAAAATAAGGCCATAGATAAAGAAGGGGAAAATAGTATCATTGACAAAGAACGCCATGTATATATATGTCACAAAGATAAGCTGATGTGCTAACCTGATATTGTAAAAAGTTTGATGTCCAAAGCTCAGAAATAATAAAATCTGTACAGATTGTACACAAGCCCTGCAATAGTCCATTTGTAAGTACAAGACAATAGCAAACAGTTGAGGACAATAAGAACTCTCTCAAATATAAGAAACCTGAAGATCCAGAAATGATGCAGCTGCTAGTACACGAAACGCATTGTTATCATTAAGCTTAGGGGGTTGCCCATAAAGATATGCCAAGGCAATGGCAATTGCCTCTGAATCAATATTAGAATCATCTATATGCAAGATCACTGCAGGTGCTCCAGCTTCTCTCCATGGACCATGCAACATATTCCTGGCAGTTTTTTTACACAGAGCCTGCTTATCAGTTTCAGATATTCACACAGTATTAATCTGGACAAAATTGACTGTCAGTCATAAGAAAAGACAATAATCTAACGAAATGAAGAGGTTTAGTTGCATAGGAAGGTTCCTTTCTATGTTGAAGGTTTATATAGGAGATAATGCACTGAAAGGTACTTTGTATTGAGGAGTTCTATCAGACTTTGTTGATTACTTCGGCTGGTGCAAAATGCAAGGGACCCGCACATTCCCAGGTTTAAGTTTGATCAACCATTGGAATAATGAAATGTGATGTGACATAGAAGGGATATCACTGGAAAATGCTTTTCATTATGAATCTGAAGTGATGCTTGTGTCACATGACCAACATTTGATTTTATTAGTCTAATCGTTGGTCAAATGTCAACCTTAGGATGTGTGGGTGTCTTAATTTTGCGACAGACCACTAACTACCCATCAGGCTTCCATTTAGCTTTGTGTGATAAAGGAGTAGCTTGTTTCATTTGGAACGCAAAGGGGAAATCTAACTTCCTTTTCTGCGGAAAACCAAAAAATTGAACTAACTTCCTGCAATCAGCAACAGAATTGGTCCCTGCACACGCAATTCCGCTCAATTCACTCTATTAAACATTTTCACGCAGGGGTCATAGCACGAGAAGTTTCCACTTCAAAGGGAATCGAAACATATGCACCGCGCAGCCCAGTAGAAATGTATTTCTACTCTATGGAACAATCCTAAATACTCAGTCGACACAGCGCAAACTCCCACGGGAACTGGCCCCGGGGTCCCCGCATCCGCATTCGAGAAGGAGGCTGACCTGAAGTAGGTGCTGCGGGAGATGATGAGGCGGTGGAGGCGGTAGGTGTCGCCCATGGCCTCGACGACGACGTCGGAGAAGGCGCCGGAGCCGAATCCCTCGGCCTGCACGTGGTCGCAGAGCGCCGCGAGGTTGCAGTCCACGGGGCGGAGCTCCGCCGCCGCGACCGCCAGCTCGTACGGCCGCGGCGCCCCCGCCGGCGCGGCCAGGGGCGCCGCCCCCTCCGCCGGCACGGGCGGCAGCGGGTGCGGCTGCTGCGCCGCCGCCATGGGGGCGAGGGGCTAGGGTTTTAGTTGGGGGCGTGTCGGTGCGATGGGGATGCGGGCGGGTAATGGGTTGGGGTGGGGGAGAGAGAGACACGGGGTCGATCGGGAGGAGGAAGAAAGCGTGCTCGGGGGGCTCCTAGTAACTGCCTTTTCCCCTTTTTTGACGCTACAGTTACTACGGTCGAAGTGTCGATGTAGATTTTGTGTTTTCATTTCGAGTTTGCTATTCTTGTCGTGAAAAAATATTTTTTAAACACAGTACAGACACATACGTTCACATATAATAGAGACACACAAATATACACTCTTTTCTATGAAGGTTTATGACTTGAATCATGTTGGGTTGATTCCAACGCAAGAAACTAACCACGCCCGATTCGCAGTGGCAAAAATCGGTGATGCAATATATTTGAATTGATCCAACACGATGAATCTTTCTCTCTATTTTTGTGAATGTCAGCATCATGAATCTTTGCTTTATGGACGAAAACACTACTGTTTTTCAACGAGCATTGACATAGGCAAGTTTATTTAAATAAGAGCATCTACAGTCGGGCACCTCAAACCTGTCTCAAACATTTGGACAAACGACCCGGTCAGTGACCTGTAAAAAAATCGACCTAAACGGGCACCTCAAACGGGTTCAAACGTCCGTACTGACTGTCGCCCCTCATAGCCAGCCCAAATACGGGACGGATATGGGGAGGATCGGGCGTGTCCGCCACGTCGGACCCGACATGCCTACCCCATCATAAATTGATCAAATCCACCAAACCCTTCTCACTCCTCTCGCCTTCCTCCAACCTTTCCCGCATCTGAGCCCTCGTCGTCTGCCACCTTTGCTCCCCATCCTCGTCGTCGGGCCCGATCCGCCGCCCTAGATGTTGTCCAGCCCGTCCCCGGTCGCCGCGATAGAGATTGCATCCACCTCGTCCATCGGTGTCCCGTCCTCGACTTTGTTGTGCAAGCCGGAGAACATCACTCGGAGGGGCCGACAACGGAGGCGGCCAAAAAGGGAAGCGACAACATCGCAGGGACCGGATGCGAACATGAACAAGCGGCTGTCCTCCCCGCCGCGCCCCGGGACCGGATTGGGGTCAGGAGAGGATGGAGAAGAAGCTAGAAATTGAGAGGGGGGGAATCGAGTTGAAGAAGAAAGAGGCGGCGATCAAATGGGAGCTCGAGAAGGCACACATTTGGAAAGATTGAGCTTGAGAAGTGATGAGTGCTATTTTTACACTCATTTATTCTTTGTTTAAACTGAGATATTTCATTAAAATTGAGATATTCGCTCTGATATTGCTAATAATGATTAATGGATGCAAATGATTCCACAAATCCTCTCTTGATGTGTTTCCATGAGAAATGGGCCAAAAATGGAAGAAATCATTTGTAGACATGGAAAGAAGTGAAGGAGGAGATAGAAGAAATCAGGAGGACGCGCACAAGAAGAAACAACACAAAAGACGGGGTTCCATGTGACAACGACCGCTTGCATGAGCGGTCGTATAGTGTGGAAACCGAGGCATCTCGTCCACCTGAACAAGATTTATAAAGGGGGGCCAGGTCGAAATGTGAATAGAATGTCCGCGAGCGAAGCTAGAACAGAGTCATCTTCATCTCTCTCCATCAACCCTAGCCGCCGCCATTTTCATCTTCATAGCCATCACCACCACCACAGTTCATCTTCCTTTATATCATACTTGTAATCGTGCATCGCACACATCATCCATTGTAAGTTGTATTATCAATCAATCAATTTTCATGATGTGTTATTCAATGTGTTCTTCGTGTGATATGATCTTCATGTGTGAGTAGTTCGGTAAGGTATGGGTTGAGGAAAAAACCTTGCAATCCCACTATTAGGAAAAGGTCTACTAGTGGTGCATCTGTTTTGGCTACTAATGGCGCACTACACGTGCGCCACTAGTATCACGCTATTAGTAATTAATACTAATGGCGCACCCCTAGTGCGCCATTAATATACCAGATACTAATGGCGCACCACGGAGTGCGCCATTACTAACCCTTAGGTGCTCCACTGGTATTCCCTTTAGGTGCGCCACTAATAGCCTTATAGGTGCGCCACTAGTAATAAAGGAAGGTGCGCCACTAATAAGGGCTGAAATGCGCCACTAGTAATGTATTTGGAAAACAAAAAAAATCCAAATTTACAGAAAACAACCTATAAGGAAAAATAATTTAAAAACAAAAAATGAAATAGAATCATAATTTTTATTATAGTAAGAATATTACAATGTCTTTACAAGTATCAAATAAAAGAAAAATTACAAAGAAATAAAAGGAAATTCTAAAACTAATCTTCGAGTGATATTTTCTTTTTTTCTTTACTTTATCCCCGCAAAGAATGACATAAATATGTGAGAATGAACATTGCAGAGAAGTGAAATTGAGCAATTATTTGCATCCGACATCGAATATCTAAGATACATTGAATCATAGACATAGGTCATTTCATGAAGCCAAGAGTCTATGCCATTCAGGATGCACAGTTCCCTGTTAGAAGAACTTAATTATTCAGTAAACACAGTCCTAAGCTTTTTACATGAGACAAAACATAAGGTACATGCTTGACCTAAGCTATGGCCACGCTAATCCTGCTAACAATACACATGCAACTAGCTAATCAAGATTACTACTAACATAATTCACCGAAAAGAGTAACAGGTGATGCATCAAAAGGAATCTGGCCAGATCCGATCACATTAGACGAGCCTAGGTGTGTGGATCCAAAACAAAGTGTGCCGATCTTTGATAAATGAAAGTTAAGGTTAATAATCTAAACTTCAATATTCTGAACTTTGTTACAGTTTAGCCCAAGGAGAGATGCTCTATTCCTAAGAAATTAACTATTTAGTGGCATAAACGTTGTGATTGATGTGACGATGAAGGAGTTTAAGTTCTGTACCTCATGCATTGTGCCACCGTCCAGAGCGGCTCGCTGTGCCGTAGGGTCCTCATCTCGACAGTGTGTGCGTTTTGAAATGAGAATGTGTTCTATTCTAGAACCATAACTGAATTCTTCAGCTCCAACGGCTTGATTAAAGCAAGTATAAGCTCCCTCCCTGCACAAAACAAATGAAGGAAGCATATGGTACATCGTTAGCATGTGATTATCATGAAGTACACTATAGTTGTAATAATCCTATATAATTATAAAGTCAATCCCCACTGAACATTTTTCCTTCCCTCACAGCCTACCACATCAGCAAATTACTAACTTCTTTTAGTTGTTCAAAGATGGAAACCAGCACTGATATACGTGCAAAGTTCTAAGGACATTGTTTAACCAATAGTATCATGCGGCATATTCTTCATGATCAATACGAATTCTTATAACTAACCAATACCGTTGTTGCCAAATGGCTAAGTCTACTGCCTACTGCCAATGCACATCTGAATCAATCGAGACGGTCAGATCAAAGATTAATTATGATTGTGAAATTCCAAACAATATTCAGTCAATCACGGGCATCATTTAGCAAACAACTACGTAATGAAGCTTAGTAGAAAATAAGAAATGGGAAGCAATTATTATGCTCCCTTGAGGCAGTCGATATACAATATATCAGTAGAAGTGTAGAACTACAAGCTTCAGGTTCAATATTATGCAAGGAAGTGCTTTAAAGTGTTACAGAAGAAAAATAATTGCTTAGCATTAGCTTTATGGAAGCAAACAAATATCATCTCAGCACGGACGCCTCCACCAGCACTATAGTTGTGCAGCAACTAGTTCCACAAACTTTGCCTCCCAACTCCTAAGATATAACTATTTACTGTTTAAATGGAGCAGTAGTGTGCCTCTCTTCTGATGGATGAAGCTGGTATCTCACGAGCCTGTACATCGTGAGTAATAAGTACTGCACACATCGTGAGCTGGGTTTCTCAGTATCTCAGTTTCCTTCCGACGAGTACAAACTAGTAATGGGATGTACTACGTACCAACTAGAACCACTGGTCATCAGGGGAACACAAGGCGCCTATCTGCTTCGAGAACTAATTATCAACAAAGGTTTCAGACGTTAAGCCCGTCATCTCCTAGTAGGCAAATTAATTAATTCACTAGCAGTTTTTGAGCATGGTCCTATGATCCTCGTGATGAAAGATAGATTGATACACTAATGAGCAAATCAAATTTGGGAGGGAGAGGAAGAAAACTCACAGCCAGGTAGATTCCTCACCGCCCACCTCACAGTCACACCTCGCCGCCGGGCAGATTCCCCATGGTCGCCACGCCCACCCTCTCAACCTTCCCCTCCACCTCCCCGCGCGCAACCGCACTGATGCGTCGTCGCCCAAGCAGAACAACCACACAGAGGAAGCCACCCCCTCCTCTCCCGGCGGGGTGCAGCGATGCAGCCGTCAATCTGGGAGCCGCCTGGCCGTGACCGCGGGGATCCCTGCCCGATGGAGGACGGGGACAAGAGCTGGAGATGGGGGAGAAGGAGATGTGGAGAGGGAAGGGGAGGGCCGACTGGCCACTGGGTGGGCGGAGAACGGCGGCGGAGGAGGACGAAGACGACCGCTAGGTGGGCGGAGAAAGACGGTGTCGGCAGAAGAAGAGAACAGACACGGACGCCTCCACCAGCATGGACACGGCATCCAGATGCGAGGTCCCGGCTGGCCTAGGGTTTCGTGGTGGCGCGCTTGAGGATCGATTAGAGGCGTGTCCGCGAGGGAATCTGTAGGGGGGCGGCATCGGAGCTTCCTCGGATGGTGGCGAGGTTCGAGAGGGCTGGTAGGTGGTGGGGCAAAGGTGGGGCGACGCTGGGTCTCGCGTGAGCTCAGGGACAAAGGGGGATTCGGGAGAGGACTGGGAGGCGGATGAGGCAGGAGAGGTCTAGGGGCGGTAGCGGAAGGAGGGTTGCGGTGGTCGGCCGGCAGCGCAGGTGAGGGGACGTGGTGGCCGGCGGCTGTTGGTGGAGGTGAGGAATCGTGAGAGGGAGCTCGAGCTATGCGGTGGATAGATGACAGGGGAAAAG